AGAGAGAGAGAGAGAGAGAGAGAGAGAGAGAGAGAGAGAGAGAGAGAGAGAGAGAGAGAGAGAGAGAGAGAGAGAGAGAGAGAGAGAGAAAAGTATAACGTGAAAGTTGAAGGAAGATGACGCGATCGCTTCAGGCCGCCACACCACTCGCATCGTCGTGGGAAGGAGAAGAGCCGGGTATACGAGTTGAGTCGTCAGGTCGGAAGATAGTGGTGGGGCCTGAGCCGTAGCGCTCGTCAATTTGGTAGCGCAAGAGGGAGGACACAAGGCGGCACGCTGTAGAAATAGGAACTGAAACGTCCCTCGAACCGGGGAGGGACTCTGCTTGGCCTTGACGTACCGTCGTTACGGCTGCTGGAGCTGCCTTTGACCGTTGATGAGATGCGCCGTTTGTGGGTCATGGATTAATGATGCTGCTGGGTATAGGACTACCTTGTATTCGTAAATTCCATTGCCCTCAAAAAGTGCCTAAAAATGCCTAAAAAATGTCCAACCCTTTGTTATCGTCCCATTCGGTAGACCCGTCGGTCCCTTAGAACAGGCCGACCCTCTTTGCTCTAAAAAATAGCCAGTCCATCCCGGTTCGACCCCTCTTTTTCCCGAAATACAGACAGTCTATCAATTAGAACAGTCTGTCCCATCCTGTAAGACTGTCGACCCATTCATTCCAGCATCCTGCGAATTTGGTCGAGAACACAGTTAACCCATTGTCGAAGTAATAGTCTGGGTATCTTCTTTGTCTAAGCTCCATTTTCATAGTTACTAAAAAGCACGCTTCCGATGCTGGGAATGTTGTCAGGGATTTTGCCCGATGAAAAAAAGAGCTGATCACCGCAAGCTTCTGCTGCTCACTGGAGTATGAGTCGAAGTCTTGGATGGCTTGGAATGAGATACGACTAGTGGCGATTATAGGACCCTGATTGCGATGAACCGCCGAACAGTTGATCCCAAGGGGAGGAGGGAGGACTGTCAGTTTGCATCCTAAAAAATCCCATTCGTTTGACACGCTCGTTGTTTCCAGAATTAAATTGTTGTCATAGCATGTTTGAAAAGATTTGAGAATAGACTCCACTATTTCCCTTGATCGTTTACATCCATCTTTAAATCTAACGAAGATCGAGACATCGTCAACCAGCCTTACTCCGTGTATCAGAGCACGGTCCTTACCTAGTGATGACAAAAAATGAAATTCATTGAAAATGCAAAGCATGGCAGCAAGAGCAGGGCTTGAAGCTTTGCCCATTGGTAAACCAATCTCTTGCTTCAGCAGGGACCCGGTTGCAGACACAAACATATTGTTGAGATCGAATGCGACAAAATCCTTGATTATTGAGAAGTTCAGAAATTTCCATCCTATCAGGGATTTCGACACTGAAAGTTTGCCCCCCTTCCCTTTCTTTTTTATCCAAATCCCTTCAAAGCCCTGCATTAGAAGATACAAAGTGAACCAGCGGACAGAGTCCAGGATTGCGTGATGTGGGAGTCTAGTAAACATCTCCTTAACATCATAGCTTGCTGTAAGGAGGCGCTCCGAGGGGCACGTGGAGCGGTTGATGCGAGACAGGGTATTCACTAACTCCTTAGTGCTGAACAAATTGAAGTGCAAGGTAGCGGGAACAGATTTGATAAGCGCGTTAAGGCAGGATGTGACGCGTTTACAGGCCGTCAGGGAGGGTTCTGATGAGGTCGGACAGATTGGTCTCCATCTGTGTATGTTTTTGTGTTTAGGGATAGCATAGCCTCTTCCTAATTTTTCGCTAGCATTCCATGGTGCAATGCAGCCAAAACCACCTGCGAGATATTTGCTACGACAGTCGAGGAGAATTTGATCCTCGCTTTTTGAGACAGGTACAAGTCCCGGATGCTTCAGACAAAGCGTGTCCATACCCTTACGGTAGATTACAGGGCAACAGAGAAAAGTGTCCCCAGGATTGTGGTCAACTGGTACTAAAACTAATCCTTGTAGCAGCTGCTTGATCATGCATACACTCTTGGAATTGAAAGGGAGTTCACGTAATTCAGTTACGGAGGGCGGGGACGATCTTGTACGTAAGATATTGGAAGAGTGATGGGATACCGAGTCTCTAAAGCAAGGTTGTAGCATTGAGGATGGGACGTGAAATTTGTGGGTTTTTCCAAGGGACGGGAGTTGTCGAAGTGTTCCCAAGATCTACGTTCGCAGGGCCTGTGTTCCATAAGATCGAGAGGGAGGAGGGATATTCCTCGAGTTACGAGCCCAGATAGGAAAGAGCTTGGAGTCTGTCATTCGGAAGGCAATATGACCATCCTCTTTACCAAAGAAGTCCGACAGATTGCAGGTGGAGGGAGTGGGAGAGAAATATAGAGGGGTGGAAGAAGACGAGGTGGATAAGAAGAAGAAGAAGAAGAAGAAGAAGAAGAAGAAGAAGAAGAGAAGGAGGTGGACGAAGGAGGAGGAGAGGAGGGAGAAGAAGAAGAAGAAGAAGAAGAAGAAGTGGGATCAAGTGAAACAAGACACGGCTCGCTAAGATCCTGCTTGTACAGCCTGGAAATTTTATCGCACAAATCATAGCAAGTACATTCCGCGTGCTCAAGGCGGGAGTATGTTCTAAAGTTATGTAGCATCTGCGCGAGGCTACGGTTTTTTGTCCAGACCACCCGGATTCTCCTAGATACCATGCTAGATAACGAAGTCGGAATGTCAGCTTCACGTATTAACCGGACGCATAATGCTCGTACATTCGACTTCACAATATCTTCCGAAAACTGAATCCTGAACACAAGTCGTTTCCGAATACGGAACCCGAACCTTCTGTGGATGCAACCTGACAATATCGTTCGAAGTGTCTGTCTAGAGGCTTTTTGAGAAAAACACCTGACCGCATCGTACGCATAAACTAAATTATCGAGTGGCCATTTATAAAGCCCCTTGCGTTCATTCGGGTGACTAAGCAACCTCACGATTGTGGGCTTCATACCCTCAGAGCGGGAGCAAAATCTAATAAGCGACACTATTTTTACCGTGCATCCCCCTTCGAACCATCCTCTGCAGCGACTCAATTGATCCCGCCCGTAAACACTTGCAACCACTGAGGCGCCAAAAACTCTTTTAATTACCTTCCAAGCATATGAGAACAAACTACCTGCCTCTGCAACAACTGAGAAGGAAGTCACACCTGCAGTCATGGCCTGGTTGAAAATGTGAAGTAGGGAGATCGAGGAAGCACCGAGGGAGGAGATGAAATAGGCTAGCCTTCTGTTAGTCCCAGAGTTGTAGACGCAAGAGTTGATCGTATTAGATCCTTGTGCTTGCGCATTCTGTCTTCTAAACTTGTTCTTTCTTTCCCTTTTTCCAGGTCTGTTTTTTCTATTTTTCCTTTTTCTCCGAGCAATCAATGCAGAATTCAAGTAGGGGGAAGACCAGCCTATGAGACTTTTCTCTGCAGCCAGCAGATCAGAAGCACCAACAGTTGCAATGGGAATAGCAACATAGTGAAATAGTCCCGTTCTTCTTAGCCAACGGTATAGCTTATGGTTACGTGCACATTCAGAGGGAGATTCTATCCTCGAAGTACGCATGCAATGCTCAACCCATCTAATGTCTAATGTCCGCGTAGTGCAGCCCACGTAACAGTGCTTTGTCAAGGGAGAGATGAGACAGTAGATGACAGGACCAGAAGGGGAGTGGAAATTGTACCCATCATTAAGCAAAGCAAGAATGGAATCCGTAAACTTAACCCCCCACGGTATCTGCTGGTGGAAAATCAAGAACACAACAATCATGTGAAATAAGTAGTTGAGGTCCGAATTTAGTACTCCTGCCTTCTCCTTCCGGAGCGATAGGCAGTGTTGCGCGAGGTTCCATACTGCCTGCACACTTGGGCCATACCTCTATTCATCCCCAAGTCGGTCGTCATCTTCAACATTGACAGGCTGTGTATCCTGCACATCTAGCCCGTCGCGCTCATCCTCTCTGCCATCATCAGCTTCAGAGTCCGGCACTATCTTCTGACCCGACTCACGCTCGTCGAAAGTTGTGGCTGTTCGTAGCTCCGCTATATCGTTAATAGCTTGCTCGCAGGTCGCAAAAGTGATCCCTTCCTTGCCGCATAGGACCTGTAGACCATGCTTTCGAAGCCTCCTCAGGTACTTCGTCGTCTCTTTGAGGAACTCTGCGCGCTCGGTTGCTGCTGCCTTCGTCGCCAGCCTCCCTGATGTCCTTTTTGGTGGTGACGGTCTAATGGTGAGATCGTCCAGTCCTTCCTCGCGCCTTGCCGAATTCTCCTGCTCTTCGTCATCGGTGGCCTCGTGCATTCTTCTATTGAGATTGGAGCGTGGCGTACGACCCTGTTTCACCAACTTAGCTACAGCCTTGTCGAATCTGCCTCTGAGAGCCTGGACCTCCAGCTCGGCAATCCGCTTGCCCTCCTTGACAGCGTTATACGCTTTGAGTAGCTTCTCAAACTCAAGGGGGGCAGGTGTGCCTACACCTGCCACCTTCGCCTTCCCTCTTGCAGGAGCCTCAGGTGGGCTACTGATGCAGACGCCGGTTGCGGGTCTCTTAGATCCAGTAACGTTGTGCTTGAAAGACCTTGCCATCTCGTCCATCTTCTTCTTGATATACTCGTACTCTTGCCGTAGCACCTCGATCTGTTTGTCCATTCGTTCCTTCTTGGCATCAAATTGTCGCGGTCCTGCATTCTCTAGCACCACTCGTCGTCGATTATCAGTACCAACCAGGGGTGGCTTGGTCTGATCAGCACGACCGAGGAAGAGTTCACAAGCGTCGTTAATCTTGGAGCCAACTATATTGCTGATCCGCTCCTCAAACTCCTGCCTCTCCTTAGCTTTCTTGAGCGCCTTCTCCTCGGCCTCCTTGATCTTCCTTTTTTGCTCCTCCTTGAGTTGCCTTTCCTTCTCTCTGATTGCCTCCTGTTGGGCCTCCAGCTCCATGGCCATAAACTCATACACACAGTCTAGTTTGTCCTGATTAAGCTTCCACCAATTCTGGTGAGGTACAACCGCCTGTCCCGAGATGGGAGAGCTTGCCTGCGAGGTGGGAGGTGGTGGGAGAGCGAGGAGGGGGCTGTGCGAGTGATGTGCGTTTGTATGCGATAGAAGTGGCGGAGCAGCCCCGTTCGATGGTGGAAGAGGTGGGAGTCCCGCGGAGCGTGATAGATGCTGTGAGGGATACCCCGATTGCTGCTGCGGAGAGTATCCTGGTGGACGATAGGAACACTCGCGCGCGAAGTGCCCAGGCATGTTACAATTGAAGCAAAGCCTTGGAGAAGACATGATGGTAGTAGCGGGCGACTCAGAGGAGTTATCGCAGGTCTTTAGTGGGAAGCGACGGGGACCAAGGACAGAACACCATGTATCTGCACAAGCAATATCGTAGTAACGAAGGGTTTCAAACAAGGAAAACAAAAATCAGATTTGAGCGTTACAATCCGGAACGCAAACAGACTCCGTAAGTCAAAAATGATATATAGATATTAGTCGCAAGTAGAGTATTAGTCGTAAGCGAGGAGAGGAAGAGAGATGCGGGAGGTAAGCAAAGAGAGGAAGAGATACGGGAAGTAAGTGTTACGTGAAGAGTAGGGCATGAAGAGTAGGGCATGAAGCCGTGCAACCACTCTACAGTAGTATAATTTCTACTAAGGTTATTGCATGAGCCGCAGGTATGAGCTAGGGCATAGCAACTGAAGTTGCAAGCTCAAAACAGAAAAGGAAGGAGGGATGAGATTGGAGTATTAATAAGGATAACCTCCTCTATGATGCCTGTTGCGCCGATTAGTATCWTCRCGCTTGCATTTGGCAATAGCAYAGCRAAGAGTACCGTACGAAATCTCAGAAAAAAATTGAAGCACTCGCAGCCAAAAGATGAGAGCATCCATCACCCAGAGAAGTACTTTAAGCCATTCCATCGCAGCAGATTACCAGGATCGAGTGAATAGCTTGCAAGCTAGGGGACGAGATCAGTAAGACCTGAGAGAGAGAGAGAGAGAGAGAGAGAGAGAGAGAGAGAGAGAGAGAGAGAGAGAGAGAGAGAGAGAGAGAGAGAGAGAGAGAGAGAGAGACGAGATAGGAATCTCAAAGAGGAGGAGAGAGGGAGAGAACGAAAGAGAGAGACAAAGATGATCACACTGACGACAAACACGCACAACGGACACATTCTCCGAAGACTCCCCAGCTGGACACTGATCCTCCCTCCGACTTAGAAACCTCACGACGTTCAGTGTACTCGAACCGTCATTCGCCCGTCTTGATCGACCCGCCACCGCGGCTGGTGTCCCCCTGTATTCCCACGGGCTCTGCGACCACGACAAGCACACATGACATGGCCAGTGCCAAACACCGCTTTGTACCTCACGCTAACCACCACAACTGTCTCCATGGCTGCGTTCTGCAGAGCTTTCTTAGTTCTCCAACACCTTCAAACTGTATAGAGCGTCGTGCCACGGTATTCACAAGAATCACGAAGCTGAAGCTACGCACACCCTTTTGTTCCTACTCCGAACGCTGCTTTGACTTTGCACACACGCTCTTCCCGTGCCATCGAGCACACGTGGTGATGCTAGTCGATGCCAACACGCCAACCTCTACGCACCATCGCCCCACAACACCCACTTACAGTCGCGTCACCTCCATTCCGGCCCGCTGCCCCGCTCGACATACGATACGCCCCGCGCAAGCCTAGCGCTTCTCGAGTAAGTTGGGCGCAGCGCTCCCGCTCCCAGTAGCGCTGCGCCCCGGCTGGCTCCTACCTTGATCAGGACTGCGAAAAAAAAATAGGGAAAAGAAGGACTCATGGGTGCGGGGACTGTTTGCCTCGGACATCAAACTTTGTTCCAGGGGCAGGGTCTCACATGCATGAGAACTTGCGCCTACGTTCGGTCCAAAGGACTCGAACACACGACTTTCCGCTCATAAAACGGACACTTAACCAATAAGCTTTTTTTTCTTTTTCTTTTTTTTTCAAAATGAGAAACAACCCGAACGGATGATAGGGATGCTCGCCAGCAACTCAGGCGCATGTGTAGTTCTATCAGCCTAACTTCATTCCTTTTAAGTGAGCCCTGTAGCTCGCAGTCACTACAATCACATGTCCATTCACACAAACAACTACAATGTTCAGGGACGCTGGACCCGCTTTCCAGCAGGTGCTGCTCCCCACCAATAGATGGAGCCTCCCCTACTTAACCAATAAGCTAAGTGGGCTGGGGTGAAAGTGAAGCTCGTTGAAGAGCTTTTTTTTTTTTTTTTTTTTTTTTTTTTGGAAAAGCCCTTTTTGGAAGGCCTCTATTCCAGTGGTGGTAAGAGAACCACCGGGAATTGAGGCTTCGGCTGTCGGGTTGCTCCTTCTATTGGTGGGGAGCGACACCTGCTGGAAACCGGGTCCAGCGTCCCTTGGATACATCTTATGAGTACAGAGCTGCGCTGGGGCTGTGGCCATTGCCAGTTACTATCATAGAGCACCTTTTCCTCCGGGCTGCTTCATTCCCCCCCTATGGACCTGTTCCGTCTATCATTCGGCTCTTTAGTCTGGACTCAGTTCCAGGCGTCTGCAGCCCCCTTGTCACATATGTCCTATGGGTTAACCTAATGAGCTACTCTCTTTTTTTTTTTTTTTTTTTTGGGAACATGCTCCAATCTATTTGTGGGCCATTAACCGGCTCCATTCAAGATGATATTGAGAAATTGAGAAATTTATGGAAAAATCCTTGAGATACCGGGGCCATTACCCGGCTTCGGCTAAGAAAGACAACGGTGTAATCTACACAAGAACACTAAAATTCTCTATCCCCCAAAGCTCGGATCAAAGAAGCATTCAGAATGAAAGAACCACCTGCTTTGTTGTTGTTGTTGTTGTTGTTGTTGTTGTTGTTGTTGTTGTGGCCCATTCCTTGCCGCTCCTCCACCACAGCTGCCGCCGCTGCCATGAATCCCAGCTCCACCTCCCACTCACCTGCCTGCTCTCCACTACCCTGATGCAGATGAATGTCACCGTCAGTGACAGCACTCTCAGCAACGACCTGATAAGAGAGCGCCATCAGGTTCTCCCACAACCCTCCAGGCCCCCCCTTATCCTCATCCCTGTCCCACACAGCCGCTTCACGGCTCATCTCCTTTCTGCTTCCCAATCCACACACCCTGCACAAATGTTAGCATAGTAGTTGACCACGTCTTCCTCATCTTACCCATCATCCTCTGCATACGAGACGTCGTCTTCTGTGTCAAAAAGAGTATCTCCATGTTGTAGCTCCCCCACCAGCTCCATCACGTACCCAAACAGCTGCGGCCCTATATATTTTCACGTCGATCTCACAGCTGGCGCTACCCCTGCCCGTGCGTCGCGGTCGTCCACGTCACCAACAGCAGATGCCACGTGGCCAAGCAAGGAGCCACGCAGGCCTAGCAGCCGAGGAGCTCCCCTCCCCAGGCGCTAGTCTAGCCGGGGGAACCGGGTCTTACCGGTCCACCGGCATCAGGGCGCTAGCGTTAGCGCAGTCCCCTCCATTTTGCGTCCGTCCTCGCTCCTCCAAGTCCAACCAATTCAATTACCTGTCAAATCGGGCGGTTTTGTTTGTTTCAAACCATGATCCTTTCTATTTGCGGGAAGTGTCACCTGCTGGGAACCGCCAAGTGTCTCATAACTGGATCCTTACAAGAATCTGATCCTAGATGATGGAGACGGGTGGCCACAAATGAAGAGGCCAGGCTAATGGGACCTCGCCACAAGTATCAGTTTAATTAACACAAGGCTGAGCATGACCAAGTCTTTGCCCATGGTGCTCTTGTCTCCTTCATTGCCAGCTAGAAACCTTGAACCTGGAATAACGACATGGTTAATGTGTTCTGCAATGTTTTGGTGGGCTGGCTGCTGTGACTCACATCCTGAAGCCATCATCTCTCGGCAAACCTGTTCTTCATTTATGTATTCGGTGAGTCCAATGGGAGCCCCCAAACTTCCCCACCACCCGCCGGCACCTCCCCGACTCCACATCCCCTTTATACCCCACCTGGCACCTCCCCTACGCTGCACAACCCCCCACCCTGCCCGGCAACCTGCAACCTGCAATCCGCAATCCGCAATCCACAACCTGCTACTCTCTCTCTCTCTCTCTCTCTCTCTCTCTCTCTCTCTCTCTCTCTCTCTCTCTCTCTCTCTCTCTCTCTCTCTCTCTTAATTGACTGAACCTAGCGCCAGATCCCAATCCAATTCAGCCAGAGATGGATGGAAAACAGCTTTTCAAAATGGTACTTGGGTTCATGCTTGATTTGGACCAGGTCTGTGGCCCAACGGGCAGCCGCATTTGGGGCCTCGTTCGACACCACTTGAAAATACTTGAGTTTCAAGGGCGCCCTAAACGAGAAATTGAGATTAATTTACACTAACTCCATTTATGGTTCCACGTGCACTTGAGGAAACCCTTGAACAAGCTGCACTTGAAACCGACGTGGGACTTTTTTTTTCAATAAAGACTAGGGTAGTAGGGTTGCATACCTGCCAACCACCAACCCCGACCACTGACTGTTTTGCAGCCGACCAGTAGGGCCGACCAGTCAGCGGTCTGCCGACCAGTCAGAAAACAGCCATCCACTGATTTTGTTTTTTAATCTGAGTTGGGGGTTGTACTGCGCTTGCCGAGTACAGCCCAAATCTGCTGAGAAACGTTTTTTTTGGGTGGGGGTGGGTGGGGGTTGGAGGTTTGGGGTGGGGTGGGTATAGTGGGGGTATGAAGGTGTTGGGGGGCGGTTTGGGGGTGTTGGGGGGGTGTATGGAGGTATTGGGGCCAGGTATGAGGGCGTTGGTGGGGTTTTGGGGGGTTATGGACCCAGAACCTCAGTGAATCACCAGGCAACGTTGCCGGAGTAACCCTACTGCACAACACCAAAAACTAGCCGCATGAACAACCCCGCAAGTGAACGCGCAGCACGACAACAGTGCAGTGAAGCACAATGCAACACCAACAAAGCAGCCAAACTACACAGCACACAAGCAAAGAACGCGAAAGGCAAGGCATGCGGATGGTCGGCAAGGCAGCAGTGCAGCGAAGCACAAGGCAACACCAGCATCACAGCCACACCACACAGTGACCACAGCAGGTGCAAAGAATGACATGCAAAGCAAGCGGGACGGGCAGAAAGGCAGCAGCAGAGGGCAGACAAGGCAGTCTACACATCCAACATGGAGCCAAGAAGCACATCAGCTACTCACATCACGAGTGAACCCAGCAGACGGTGGGTTACCACCACCCGCTGAGCCACGGAGTCACTCGGAGTCCGACGGACATCTGTCGTCACCCATAGACCATATGCAACACACAGACATCACGAACAGAGCGGCCCCCATGATAGTGTTCCACGCACTCCAAACGCCCCAACACTCACCCAAGCACACAGAAGGAACATAAAAAAAGAATGAGGAAAA